TTTGGCTGGACATGGCTGCGCTCCACCTAATGTGGTGCAACCAAGGTTTCAACTTCAGGCATCTGCATCGAAACCTGCTGCTGCGGATGGTGTTTGTGTGAACCAAACCCCAAACATGCTGCCTGCCTCGGGTCTTTCTAGCCCTATGTCCGTTTCTTCCCATCCTATTGGTCAATCTGATGGCAGTTCTGGAAACAAAGATGACATGAAGATGTCTAAAACTGCAAACAGTTCAGTGACTCCCCTTGTCAAATTGGACACTTCAAAGATTGTGACATCACTAGGACCTGTTGGGGCGACTACCATAATGACAGCAGGTATGGCCTGCCGGAGTGGAAACTCAGAACATATTTGTGACATAAAAGCTTGCAATAACTAATTATGTTGCTCCGAAGTGGAAGTAACTACTTCCAACGCAACTCATTTAGTCCAACCTTCATTGCATCTAATCATTTACATTTTCTGCAGCGGTTCCACAAGCTAGGAAAGCATCTCTGGCTCGTTTTCTGGAGAAGCGTAAGGAAAGGTAAACTATTAACCATTTCTTGTTTTATCGCTTGTTTTTTTCCGTTATGCTTTATTGGATACTTGCTAGCACAATGCAAGAAAGTATTGAGATGTAAGTGCGGATTCATATTTTGTAGGGTGATGAACTTAGCACCATATTGCCTCAGCAAGAAATCGCCCGAGTACTCCACCCCCGAGTCTAATGGAGTTGGTTTCTCTGCAACTTCCAGTCCTCTATTAGCTGGTAAGGAGACCTAGCTATGATCTCTGAAGACTGCTTAACGCCGTAAATCAGTGAAGCATAATCTATTTTATTCAGCAAGTTAAAATCTGTGTAGCTATCAAGTTTTGTTTGTTGTAATTTGTAATGTCAACTTTGGTTTAGCTCTAGCTAGACATCCTAGTATCCAATTGGTTTGGTCTTTTTTTTTCTGAAACCTGATGGAATATTTCCCATCCAAATAACTTCTTCAATTTGTAACTATTTATTTTGTTACATTGTGTTTCACAAGTATATATATATATATATATATATATAAATGTTATTTAGTCATTACATGCTTCCTTATATCTTGATTATCGTATTGTTCTGTTACTATCGGTTGTTTTTGCCTTCTTTTTTTTGAATTGTTTTGTACTGTTTTTCCTTGAGTCGAGTGTCTAATGGAAACAACCTATCTGCTTTGAGGTACATGTGAGGTTTGTGTACACTACCCTCTCCAAATCTTTGGGATTTAAGGAACTATAACCAAAGACAAAGGGAGTTTAGGAGTAATGGTAAAATTGTATTAAATAAATAAGATTCCTTCCAAGAAATAAATTGAAAAAAGACAATAAACTATATTGAATATTTTATTTGAGGGTCAAAAGATCTTTTTTTCTTTTTGGAACAAACATGTTTAAAATTTTAAAAAATGGATATTTTTTTTGGGTGGAGATAAGGAGTTTGATTTAATGTCACTAGCTAACAAGTTGTCAATACATAGCTTTCACGTGCAAAAGGGTCTAAATCATTATATATATAAAAAAATCACAATAAAAATTTGAGATTATTTATTTCGGAATTGATCATAGATATTAAGTAATTAATTTTGTTACATATTTTGTATTAAAATAATGAGATTATCTATTCCATGTAGAGAGTCGATAGCTAGGGAAAATGAGAGATGAAAGTTCAATCAACTGAGTTATAAAATATCTCAACTTACTTTACGTATTAAAATATTTTTATCTATCTCATTCCGATAACTAAATGACCCATAAATGCTCAAGATAGGATCGACCAACTCTGAGTGGATGTCCTTTACATCATACATTTTTATATATTCTTTTTATTTATTATATGGTAGTGGTTAGTTTCAAAATTCTTTTTTTTATTCTTTTCCCTCTATAGGTATACAAAATTTAACACGTTTTTAAAAAATTTCATTTCATTTTTATGGGGCCCAATTGTTTGGTAATTGCTTGCAAGTTGAGATTTTCTTGTCTGTCAATAATTGACCCAAGAATATTTTTATTTGGGTGTCACTATTTCAAATTTTAGTGAAAAATAAAGGTGTCTTCACCCAAAAATGAATAATTTTCTTATATATTTTTTTGGTGTTCGATGAATATAAATATAAAATATTATCTCAAAAATATTTATATACATATTCAAATGCTATGAAGTTTGCTATTAGTTTTGCAGCTCTACAAACTTACTATTCCATCCGTTCACTTTTATATATCCATTTTTATTTGTTCGATTTTTAAAGAAAAAAATAATAATGTATCTCTTAATTTAAAGTTATCCTTTATTATTAACTATAGTCATCTCTCAATACATTTGTTAAAATATTGAATTTATTATATTCGTTGATATAATAAATTTGTCATTCTTTTTGTTTCTCCGTAAGACATGTGACAAGTCAATACTAAACAAGTAAAAATAGACGGAGGGAGTACAAAATATTCAAGTCATGAGCTTGTTGCCATGTTTAAACGTTGACTTCGTCAACAAAAAAAATATGTGTTTATTATTGTGTTGGATGGAAGTAATTAAAAGTGTCAAATGAGCGGATTGAGCTAAATGAATCAAAATAGATGAGAAAATGATTAAAATGGTCCTTAATGTATAGGAGTTGAAGTATTTTGGTTCTTTATATATATCATCTCATCCAAATAGTCCTTAATGTATATGAAAATATGATCATTTTAGTTCTTAGCCCTAAAACTAACCAAAAAACTGTTAAATTTAACAGTGGGTCCCACAACATGCCAAACTTTAAAAAAAAATTAAAAATTAGTAAAACCCCTTCTTCCTCAATTTATATTCTTTCACAAGGTCATACTCCATATCCTTGAAAGAAAAATAATACACACTACATTCATTTCTTATCTTTCGTCAGAACAAAAATTTGAGCAGCTCCTAATTTCTTATATAAGAAGAAGAAGAAGAAGAAAATCAAGATCGCTAAAACAAATGTGAACCAAGTAAATTAGTTAAACGACTCCATTTCTCCTCGAGATCACCATAAATCAATTCCTTTCAAGTTGTAACTAATTTTATTTTTGTTTTATCCTTTTCAAAATTACGAGAATCTTTTTCTAGCATCTATATTCATTCCATTTTTCAAATAAAAGGATTAAAACTGAATGGACAGAGCTAGAAAATAAAAATCTTAAGAAACGAGAGGATTTTATCAATGGAAACAAAAATAGATCAATTGACAATTGTAAAGAAAATGGTTGAAGAAAATCGATGGAGGAGAAGAGATTACGGAAGAAAGAGGGAGGAAGAAGGGTTCCACCAAGTGTGGGACCCACTGTTAAATTTAACAGATTTATTATTTTTTTTGGTTAGTTTTAAGGCGAGGGACTAAAATGACCATCTTTTCATATACATCAAGGACTATTTGGATGAGATAATATACATTTGGGGTCGTTTGGTGTGAGGGATAATACCATATAGTCCCGGGATTAAATTATAGTACCGCTTATTTTGTTGTTTGGTTGGCAAGTTCGGGATAACTTATCCCGGGATTAATAATTAGTACCGGGATAAGTTATCCCTCTATTTGGGTGGTATAGTAATCCCGGGATAACTTATCCCGGGATAAAATAGGTAAATGACAAAAATGTCTCTTTCAACCCTTTTGTTATATCACTTTTTACATTAATGAAGGGCATTTTTGTAAACAAATAAATTGTTCTTAAAATTTATTATTTTGAATACAACAAACCAAACACTCAATAAAAAATAATCCCAACACAACTTATCCCATCATAACTAATCCCAACATAACTTATCCCAACATAACTTATCCCATCATAACTCATTTTCAAACCAAACGACCCCTTAGTAAATAGTTAGTTCCTTATCTTCTTAGTAACCCCGATGGATTAGCCTGTAAATGCCTAAGGAAGTTGAAAGCCCGCCATGGTTATGAAACCAAAAGGACTGTGTATCCCATGGTGCGGTTAAAGAAGCAGATGCTAAGAAAATGGGATAAGGAAAAGAGATGAACAGAGTAAAGAAAAAAAAAAGTAATTTTGGGAGAAATTACATAGATTTAGTAACAAATACTACTAAATAAGATAACGGAGTAGGAAGAGGGAGTATTGAGGGACTAAAATACTTTAACCCCTATACATCAAAGACCATTTTGATCATTTTCTCCAAAATAGATTGAGTTGGTAAATGAACGGGTCATTGACTCACGTATTAATTACTTGGACTAAAATAGGCTACTAAACGGTCAATAATCTACCCACTCAATTCTTATTAAATTTACTCATTTTAAATAATTTATTTAAGTGCCTAATAAAAATTTTATGGTTAAATATAACATATCATACAAAAAGAAGATTGATATTTAAAGAAAGTAATTTAAAAAAAAAAAGATATTTAAAGAAAGTTAATGGTTAAAAATACATTTGAATTATCACTCTTCGTCAGTTTCACCTCAACTATTTACTGTTCTTTTTACCTACTAAACCAATCACTTTCTTTGTATTAAAGCGCATTTTGATGGTGAGTTGGCCAAATATGAATTGACAACAGACACATTTAGGCCAACTCAACAACAAGGTGTATTTTATATCAAATGAAGTGGTAGTTTAGGGTAAGTAAATAGAATAATAAATAGTTGATCTATCACTTACTTTGTATTATAACACCTTGATATTGAGTTGGTCAAGTATTTATTCTCAATCGACAACAAGGGTGTGTAGACCAACTCAACATAGAGGTGTGTTTTAATTCAAAGGGAATAATAGTTTAAATAAGTAAATAGAACAATAAATATTTGAGGAATGAAACTTGCAAAAAGGGAGATCATGAGAATAACTATATCATTAGATAAATTGAGACGAAGAAAATATTAACCAAGGGAAAATCAACACCACAAGTTACGAATTCAGCACAAATCAATAACTTTAACCCAAACTATGTATTTCTATTAAGATATCCACTTGATATATATGAAATATGAATAGTCTTATCTCGAACTCGATCACTAATTACTATCATATTCTAATATCTTGAATCCATAAACTTAAAATTCAAAATCCGTTTATCAAAAAGCAATATACAATACACATTTCAAAACCACTAATGTGAACTTTGTGTTGATTGAAAACTACACTCACTACACAAGAACCCTAAAGAAGAGCCAACATGTTGTTGGTAAGCATGCTGGTTGCAATATGCCTTGTTACAAAAACTACATTTTGGAAGATGAAGCCAACAATTTAAGCACAATATGTCTACACAAGCTGCTTCACCTAATTCTTCATCTTTGGTGCATACACCACACTCCTCACATCTTGGGACACAAAGGAAGCAACCCCTACATTTACGGGTGACAAAATTAGCTCATGAAAATATGACTTGTGCAATACATTGTTCATTTATTAACTCAGCTTATTTTGACTTGTTCAGTATAGTCCATTTAATACTGGCCGAGTTGACTAAATATGTCGTCCAAATTAACCTATGAGAATTAAATATAATCATAATAAAAATAAAGTTTTAATAGATAATTAAATAAATTATATGAAAAACAAATAAAAAGTTAAAACATTATAAAAGTTGAACATATTGAGCTATGATCCATTGTTCAATCCATTTTGCCCCGGTCCATCTCAGCCCAAAGTAACATTTGGCCGGGTCAACAAACCATTCGTTTATTAATTCAATCCGTTTTAACCCCTTCATAGTTTCCAAACTCATTATTGAAAAATAACTAATTTATCGAATCCATGATACTCTCATGAATTTTGAACTTGAAAAAGTGAAATTCCATCATCATTGTATCCTAGACGAAATCCAAGACACTATCATTAAGTTTCACTTTTTATTAAGTTCAATCCAAACAATGACAACATGTCAGACTTTTCACTTGTTTAAGTTCGAAATCCATAACATTATCATCATGGTATTTTCGCATCAAATGTGATCACTTTTCAAAAATATACTATTTTTCAAAAATCGATTCGAAAAGTAACTAGCTCATACAATTTATGTTAACCATACCTGCACTCTATAAGAAGTTGCCTTTGTTGTTGTTGCATTCTCTTCTTACAAGAATCTCTTGGACAATCAAAAACTTCTCTTATTTCACCACATTTTGGACATATATCTACGTCGATTGAAGGCTGAGATTCTTGTTTAAACGTGTATAATTCGCATCTCATGTGATAGTAATTCTTCTTTATTTGTTTCATTTGCATTTGATTTATTCCCATTAGATAACAAAGTGTTTGAAAATCTTCTATTTTCACATTGTAGATGCCAGAAATAGCTAAGTTTTTTAGCTTATGGTTTGGTTTGGTGAGTAATTTTACTGCACCAATGACTCCCTCAATGGTTAAGCTAGTGCACCCTTGTAAATATAGCTGGAAAAAAAAATTAAAATTAGTCAAAGTCTCAAAACGAACTTTACATGACACAAATTTAGATTAGTCAAAGTCTTTTGATAGGGGGACTTTTACCTTTAATGAACTTTATATGATACGAATTCAGATTAGTCAAAGTTTCAAAACAGGTAAATTCATGGTTCATATGTTAGGTAATTAGAAGAATGAATTTAATGGAGTTCATGAATTTATCTAGGTTAGTTTATTGGTTGATAAATGAATGATTTTTAGTTTCGAAATTCGTTGGAAAGGGAAGTGCAAAGAGAAATTATACAAATATTTTCAAATTTTTGGACATCGTGAAAAAGATATAAGGTGTTTGAAAATGATTGAAGTAATGAATTAGGAGGATTATTGTGACTTTCGTTTGAAAAATGATTTATTTATTATTATGGATGATTGGTTATTTAGGAATTTTTTCGGTTTAAAGTATAAAAGATTCGTATGGGGCTTCAAGCACAAAACACAAATAAAACATAGGGTTTAACAAAGAAAGACATAAATAAAAGGGGGGAAATTACAAATATGTAGGTATATAGTTCAAGATTAATAATTATATAAGCATTATAACAAAGATATACAAAGAAATTTTAAAAAATTACAATAAAATAAAATATAATTATTCAGTTGTCTCCTTAAGATTACACTTATTAACAAATATGCATTAGAGCCTTAATGACGACACTGAAGCACCAGTTAAGTGAGACGAAGTGCTCAACATATTTTACATCTCGCTTCAGGACTTAACCATGCCTATGACATTACTAGGCGAAACGATTGAATTCAAATTACTTGAAGCCCAAAAGTACCCGGCACTAGGCAGAAATTATATATAGATAGAATCCAGAATTTTAACTTGACAAATTTGATCTTGTAGGACTTTTAATATTAAATTCATGTTATCTTTAAAATTATGGGTTCAAATCAAACATATTTTTTTTTTTAAAAAAAAGGACTCCACCAACCAACCATATCTTATCCATTAATAATAATATCATTTCATCATAAACAAAAAAACAAAAAAAAAACTATACCATAACATACCTTGTTGATAAAAGGATTACTAGCAATAACTTGTAAAAGCCCTTCATCTGTTATCTTAAAGCAATTTCTCAGAGCAACAATATTCATTCTACCCTTTGCCTTAGACATTATTTTCACCAAAAAATCATCAGAAAATCGAGTATTTATCGGTTTTTCGACGATGACATTCAACCATGGGAGTATATCATGTTTTAGAGCATCTCTAAATGACTTGCAAACTTGACTCATTGATAAAAGTTCATATAAAGGGAGATAAGGCAAGATCAAGAACATAGCTTCATGTGGTGGACTTAATTGTGAAGAAGTTTGTGTCATTTTTGTGTTATGGTATGATAAAAATTATGTGTTAGTTTTGAAGATAATGAGCAATAATTGTGTGTTGATAAATTTTTCTAGAATGGGAAAAGCAAAAAAAAAAAATGGATGGATACATTTTGGACATTTTTGTTATGTATATCAATTGATGAAATTGTATATGAGAGGAAAATGAGAAAAATGGTCCATTATGTTTGTGTAAATTTAAAGTAGTCCATTAAATATATATTCATGAGCAGTTTTAGTCGTTGAAGTGTTTTTAGAGTGAGCACTTTTAATTTCCATCGAATATTTTAACAAGATTTGAGGAGAACTATGAAAACAAAGTTTAACATCAGAATTTTTTCTTATCAAATTATAAAAATCCGCAATATAGAAGAACTACATTAGACATCGAAAATAGCAAAAGTTGCACCTAACTTTAAAAATAGAAAAAACTACAAAAATTATACCTACAAATGTGAATTCCATCTAATCATTTGTTTCACATTTTGTGTCAAATCTAACTGACAAAATTCGATAAATATTTGACAAAGACTAAAAATATTCACTTTCAATAAACTTGAAGGACTAAAATTGCTCAGAAATACATTTAAAGGTTGCTTTTGAATGTATTCCAAACATAAGGACTATTTTTTTTAAAAGAAAAATGTTCACATGTATTTCAACATGTATTAAAGTCGAAACTTAATTTTTATGGGTTCGTATCCAAATTAACTTGCGCACATCTTCATTAATTCACGAGTACTTACTATTGTTCTGGTTAGTACAAATACAAGGTAATTTTATCTACCAAAGCTTACACCAATGGAAAGAAATTACTTGACATTTTTTTTTTGCCTCTGCTAAAATTTCAACGTTCATTTCTCATAGTCTATTCTAATTTCATTGACTGCTAGGTCACACCATTGATTGATCGTATACAAAATTAGTTTAAAATAGTAAAATATTAAGGACAATTTCAATTGTGGCATAGCAAACACATTTGGTGATTGTACAATCCAACATAAAAATTAAACAAAAACCTCTCATAAATTAATTTTTTTCAGAAATTACAAAGTAGAAATCAATGATTTAAAGGTTCAACAGCAGTCCTAAATAAAAGAACATAAACCTTGTCAATTGAGAAGTACAAAAAACCTCCTATGGAATGTGTAACATATGAACCAAAGCTAGTTCCCACAATACAATGCCAAGCTGGTCCATATGTTGAGTCAAATTCCTGAAAAAAGTTCAAAAAATAATGTGAATTTTGATTATTATTATTATTATAACGAAAAAAAGATCGAAAATACGTTGATAGAAATGAAGCAACAAGAGTAAGATGCCCATTGTGTAGTCCTATAAAGTGAGGTCTGAGAAGAATAGAGTGTATGCAGGACCTTTTCCCTAGGACAGACGTAGTGAGGTTGTTTCTATTCCAACCTAGCTCCCCGGCTTGGGTTGCTTTGTCGGGATAGAATCAACACTTACCTTATCCTGACTACGGTTGTACACGTGGAATACATCCACTACTCCATTTATAGCTTAATGGACAAAAGAAAATGAACCTTGACGTACTTCAACCACACGAGGTAAGAATTGTCTGAGTTCATATAAAAAGACAACAGCTCATTCCTCAACAAATGTAGGACATTCTAGCGCTCCCACATGCATAGGATTGGGACATTTAGAGCGTGAACAATATGACATGGGAACTTTATACGCACTTAGTTTGCTAGGTGCAGCGCTTGAACCTATGACCTAAGTCACAAGTCTCTCAACCTTTACGAATTGAGCTAACTGGGGGCAGGTCATTTACACTACTCTATTACGTAATCATGTTATGTGAGTATCGTACTACTACAATTTAGCACTGCCATTGTCATCCATAAATAACGACTATGCCTTAATCCCAAACAAGTTAGGTCGGCTATATGAATCCTCACTAACCATGTTTATTCCATTTAAGCCATCTCATGTCATTCTATCGAACTCCGAAAATTATTAACCACATTACAGAAATTTTAACTCAAACGTGATCTTATCAAATTCATAGAATTCCCTAATGGGGTCTAAAATTCCCCACTCGAGTACTGTCCACGACCATATAAAAAGACAAATATCCAATCCCCAATCAATGTGGGACTCAACAAAACAAGAGTCGTAGAGCAGCTTACACAAGCTCCCCTCCCCCGAACCACAAAACTATCAAAAAGAAAACTTTGAACATACATTCAACAGAAATTAGCAGATCAAACAAAACCCGGAACGTAAAAGGTCCAACAAAACCACAAACCTCGGAATTGAGAAGCATAAAACAAGAATCAATAGCTTGACATTACACATATAACCAAGTAATAGTATTTGGACAGCCAGAGCAAGGCATTTACTGTCAAGTTTCTCACAAGCCATAGCATCAAGATTATCTCAAGCATGATATGCAGAGAAAAACAAGCCATACAGAAGCTTGAACGAGCCATCCCCCCGCCCCTCAACACACACATGACTATCAAAATCCAAACTTTGAACATATATTCAATAGAATTTAGCAAATCAAACAAAACCCACAGGCCATAGCATTAAGATTGTCTCTTGCACACTTAAAGACGTGATTTTGCAGAACCATAGAGCAACTTCAACGAGCCTCCTAGTTTTCTAGATCATTTTCCAAGGTGGGAACCCCCACCCACCCACACACACACACACAAAAACTATCAAAATGCAAACACACATTCAACAGAACTTAGCAAAATCCAAGAAAACCACAAACCTAAGAATTGAAGAAGCATAAACAAGAAGCAATGAGGAAGGTAGAATGTACGTAGACGTTAGCTCTCTCATGGATGTAGAGAGCCTTACCCTCGGCTCAAGTACAACAAGCAAATCAAAGCATGTATGAAAAGGGAAAACGACAGTGAAGAAAACATAGCAACTAATTCGAAAACAGTAACAACAACAAAATAGTGCAATAACCGAAACACATAGCATCAAGATTATCTCTTGCACACTTAAAAACACCATTTTGCAGAGAAAACAAGAAACATAAGAGCAACTTGA